ATGTACATAACCAGGTTATAAACATTTGATGTGTAGGGTAGGATTTGACGGTTTTTAACAATATGCATGCGCTAGTGAATACTTTGCCTGTTTTCGTTCCAGTTGGGAGTAGCAAGACCTGGTTAAGCTCTTAATTGAAATTGTTCTAATGTCCAACTAGTGTATTGTCCAGGGATGTGAAGTTTTCTAATCTGGGTAATTTATTTCAACACTGTTGCTGCTTGTAAATGATGATTCACACTGACACCTCTTATAGGAATAGGCAGTGCCTATATTGAATAAAGTTGCTTTATGAGCATATCTGATACAAGCAGTAGTCTAAAATTATTTGTTATCAAACTGTCACAAAATGTGTGCAAATGATTAGCTCTAGTCTGGTATTTTTCAGGTCTCCAAGTGAAGGAACTGAAGTAAAGCCATACAGACAATGCTTGGCTTTTGCTGTACATAATTCTCCTGATCATCCGTTGAATAAAAAAGTGAAAATTATGGTACTCAATGATTTCTTTTTTTTTAATTTCCTGAGTTGAAGCAGCATGAAGTGCATGAGGTACACTAAAATCTTGTTATACTGCCAATGTTGCTTAGGCCAAAACAAAATATAGGTGTGGTTACGGTTTCCCGACCGACCCTAAACATTTTATTGTCAATTTTCTTTAAAGTAAAAAAATATAAATTGGACAGTTCCTGCTTCAAAAGGCACAACGCACATCCTTCGGACATAGTTCGTAAATAAAATATTTCAAGAAAATGTTTTCCCTACCTACCTATGTAACAGTGTTAATGTAATGTAGAATTATTAGAAGGTAGAAAGTAGTTTAGTTTGAGTAGATACTGGTGACACATGTATGACGGATGTAGCAATAGGGTGTATCATTAGCAGCGACTGTTGACCACACTGTGTATCATTTAGCTGCAGACCATTATGTAAGGTTAGCACAGGTTGGTTGCGCGCAGCCAGAAATACACGGCGAGCGTGCGTGTTAAACACATGTGGTAGGGTCAGTTATCTTAAGTAGCCTAAGCAGAACAGCAAAGAGAGAGTGGGCGCGGGTTGACACCGCAAGTTTTGTGGTGACAAGTTTTACCAGCTCTTACGAGGTTCTTACGAAGTTTACAAGTTTTACAAAGTTCTTACAAAGTTTACAGTGTCTCAGGCAGTACTACACTAGTCTGCATCAGTAGCCTCTGAGTAGAATAAAATATCATCTCATCTGTTACCATAAAGACGTGTTGGCTTTTCTGTGATCTCCATCGTCAACGACTTACATCGCACGAGACACAGAGACAAGTCTTACGTTGCCTTCAAGCTTCACCGCAGCACGAAACGAACCGGAAACTATATTCCATATATAACACCTACCCTATTTTTTTGGCATGTAACGGTAACCACACATATTTTGTTACGGCCTTATCGCCAGGAAAACGCCTGTGTACAGATCGTTTGTATCTATTTGTACCTCATTTAGCCTCGTAATACTGCCCCTCGTTAACCCTGTCCAACCACCAGCATTATGACTGTTCAATCCTATATAAATGCATTGAAAATACACTCGTTATACCGTCATCGAGAGTTGTGGTTGGTATTGGTTGTTCAGTTTCTATGGTAATATACAGCACATCCACGAGAGTCTTAGGTACTAGCAGTAGAGATTCCGCCCCTATCGTTACTGGATGCTCTGAGGTCAATTCAGACTGTATTGCAATATTTTGAGTCGAACGCATATATTCTACTGAACGTGACATTTCTGCCGTGTCCCTCTCTCGCATGGATTTACTCATTGCGGAATGTTCTAAACAGAAGTTGATTACACTTTTTAGCTCATCAGACATAGTCAGATGCAGCTTGTAGAATCACATGAGCGTGCGTCCGTCAACAATTGGGCACAAATCTTAACCGCTCGACGTACGGTCACGATATTTGGGACGTGGGGGGGGTAATCCGAAAACGAGTTGGGATGTCGAAGCTGGGGGTAAAAGAAGGGGGAACATCCCTCCTTAACTTAAGGTATAGGGAGGAAATGCAGAATTGCGGCACAAATCTAAACGGCTCGTGATAGTCGGTGTATAGCATCGTGGTATGAGAAGCCATCACTGTGCCAAAATTGGAGGTCACAGGGCAGATTTTAGACATTTTCTGAGGACATGGTCTGACAGAGCGATTAAAAACTTTTTTGTTTCAGCGGTGACCTACCATTTTTATGGCTTTATTGAAAGGACCATGAAATGTGCTTTCCACTGACGTGCGAAGAGTGTCGGCCTTACGACCTAGTCGCCGACAAGATTTGAATATCGTACGTCAAAAACCAGCCAGATCGCCGATAAAATCGCCGTTCTCTTACGATCGAAAATACGGTCGCCGACTGCGATCGCAGGAATAGAACATGTTCTATTTATATGCGACTGTCGGCGACAAATCGTGAGTGGCAGCTAATCACCGCAGCGTGTCGAGACATGATTATCAAAAGTCATGTGATTAATAAAATCGCAGCCTACACAGCACTCGTCAGCAGTTTACAAGGAGGGATTATTGCACAAACCCTTTCTCAAATATATATTAAGTTTTCCGTATATCACATAATTTCTTTTCTGCACATGATTATAACGATGTTCAGAAAATTGAGGATAGATTTACAAAGTTACCTGATGTTTAGTGGTAAGCGCCATTTTGTTGGTCACGTACATGACTCGTTTTATGTAGACTGGTCCCGGCGTCAAGCTTGCTCTGCTTGTGCTAGTACAAATACTGGGGCCGCGAACCCATCTACGTTTCCTGCGAGAACGCTACGATCTGATCGGCGATGTATAGCGTGAAGGCACTTCAAGTCGACGTGAGTGTTGCTACGCTGCTAATCGGCGATAAAGTAGTCGCCGTTAGTCGAATCGTAGGGCGACCTGAGCGAGCCTTAAGTGTCTGATAACCTTTTGACCCTCAAGAGGCGGGTTAAACATGGATTCCTGAACTGCCTCAATGATGTCACAGTGTTCTCATATTCATGGCACATCCATAATCTGCAAAGCCAATATGTCTGGATAGCCCAACGGCTACAGCACAGGATTACGGCTCAAAGGTCCTTGGATCGAATCCCATCAAATTTTTTATTATTTACCTGTTTTCTGTATTTTTCTATCTTTGTCCATTTAACTATTTTTTTTCCAATTAAGGCAAATATTTACATTATTTATTTACAACAATTTCATAACAACAAACAAATTTTTTTTTAATAGGGTTATGATTAGGGTCACAATGCACGATAAAACAGAGGAGTTTCAGGCACGCGATTTGTATCAACCAATGGGATTTGGGAGGTATGCAGAATGCAGAAGGTTGCTGAAATGATGTGTACGCAACTGCGTATCTGCATATCTGCGCCTAACAAAGGTGTCACTACGCACGACTTAAATGTTACGTTTATAACCGTAGCAACACACCTCAGATGAGCCCAGTCGCTCTGCGGCTCTTGTTTTAAGAAAGATTGAACCCGGACTCAATTAAAATACTGTATGCAACATGTGCTGAACTCCGGACTAATGAAAACACGGAAACAAACAAGAAACTATATTTTGATTTTAATTGCAATTCAGTTACAAAACAAAGACATTTTGTTAATATGATTTTTATTTGTCATTAAAACTTTATAATCATATTTCTATTTTTTAGATATAACGGCGGTATAACGAGTTTTTACTGTACTATTATATCTATTATGTTGTAACAAACTGTGCGGGGATTGGCAGATTTTGTGAAATACTTGTAGAATACATGTATAAATATATCTGTGCTAAGCCTATATTAATCCGTGAATAGGTTATTGTGACACAAAACTGATTTGAGTTGCTACCCCTTCAGTTGGTGTGCAACAGTAGAGGGCGTCCATAGGCAGCAGGCCTGAATAAGCATTGAACGTGCAGACATCACACAATGTTTGTGTAAAACCGTCTAAAATGGGAATTTCCATGCACGGAATGAACTTTGCTCCGTAAACATTGAAAGAGTTGACGAACGAAAATAATAAAAAATAATTAGGATCGCTTACGTATTCTATGAGAAAAACACATTCATTTGATGTGGTTGTGATAAATTAGTAAGAAGACCGGCAAAAATCTGGAGCTGAAGCCGAAAATCTGGAAGGTTTACAACTATTGATCATCTACCTTGCGTGCGTAATGCAAAGTAGGCCTACTAGGCCACTCTATGTGCACTCTAGGGCCAGATATTACCGCAAAAATATGCCTTTTCTATATAATAGACGAAATATTGCAACGTTGGCAAAAGACGGAATTATGGCTACTAGCTGTTGTGGGCTCCTTCACTCCTTGCTTTACATAGGCGGGCATACCAGGCGCGTAGCCAGGGGGCGGTGGGGCGGTCGCCCCCCCCTCCCCCCAAAAAGGAGAGAAGGTATGGGGAAACGAAATGAGAAAAAAGAAATCCATAATTCCCTAGGTAATATGAAGAATATCCTAAATTTCACACCAGAATGTGTACTTCTTACTTCTTACTTCTTCTTCATTCTTACTCAATGTTTTTATGATTTTGTGAATATTCGGTACAATTGATATTATGACCTACAAGTTTACACGCTCAATATCACGAACATCCCATACAATGATTATCGATCTTGCACTCCCTGCACAAGTATTATATTGCAATGCAATATACACAAAAATAGCAACTATATGAGAGTAGTTATCGAGACAGTTATTACTTGCGCGCGTCAGAACATAGCTCTTAGAGGGTGCAGAGATGAGGGAAGCTTGGACTAGACGAGCCTCAGGAAAACGACGGAAATTTCAGAACATTGCTAAGAATGAGAATTCGCCCACTTTTTTGACGCCACATAAATTAAATGAGAGAGAAAAGAGAGAGTGAGTGAGGAGAGCACTGATTATTACGTCTCCCGTTTTAATTAGTGCAAGAGCAAAAAAATTACAGATCTCTGATCGTATAATAAGATTCATCTGTACGTAACACAGTTAGTTTTTACTAAGAGACACTACTAAGGGACACTTCGAGTTTCCTCTAATTTCGTGTTCACTGTTTCCCGGCGTGCCAGCCGTGGTGGCTCCCGCCTCATGTGTTTCTGCCAGTAGTCAACGAAGAGGGCGCCACCGATCAGTGATGCACTAACGATATATGAGATCCCAGAAAGGGTAAAGACGGATCCTACGTCTCCAGTGTAGCCCATGAGAAAGCCTATTAAAACAAATTTCATCTTCGCGTTACCCTATCAATTATATGTACAAATCACCAAGAGAAATAACTCGTTATGACCAAAGCTTTTGATATGCATTTTCCCAGACAAATTATATCGTGTTCAATACAGCTAAATGCGTTTACCTGCTGCCATTGGCCCAGAGAGAGCTCCTATGCCATTGAAGAGCAAGTAGATAGGCTGAACCATCGGTAGATTCTGTATGCCGTATAGGTCGGCTAGAATTGTTGATTGCAGGCCAACTCTTGTTCCGTAGCTAGTTCCGTAGAGCACGCAGCAAAGTGCAAACGCCCACACCGTCTCCGCACGCAGATACATTAGGCTGATGATGCCACCTGCAAGGTCTGTGAAGCCGAGGACCAGGTGACGTGGGAACCATCGCCTGTCTCCTACGGCTGCCACTAGGAAGCGGCTGATGGCATTGCTGACTTGCAGCATGGTCAGCATCTGAGCAGCACGCGTGAGACTCATGCCCCGCTTGATGCCAAGTAGTACACAAAATGTGATCAGTATGGACCTACCAAATACATTCAGGAGGTTACTCAAGCAGTGAACGCCGAATTTTATCATATCGGTGATTGACATAATGAAACGGGTGTTTCTGTCTTTTCTGCGCTTCTTTAGTTCTTCTTTGGCGGCTCTAGGTATCACCCGAAACATGGCAGCAGCTGCTACAGTTTGTAGATACATGCCACCTAGAATGAACATCGTTCCATGCCAGGTGTAAATTTCTATGAGCACGACACACAGTAGAGGACCGATTAGCGCTCCAACTGACATGGCTGCCATTATTAAACCCGTTGCCAGGGTGCGTTTCTTGTCGAAGTAAAGTGCGCCGATTACCTGTGAGGGTGTGTAAATCATTGACCTGCCAAACCCTGCGAACAAACAGGTTGCTTAGCAGCACAGCGTCAATACAGAAAATACTACATAATAGCTTAATTTATAAGCAATAATTCTTAATAAAAACAAATAGCATCCGTGAAATTGGTTCCTTTAGTGAGTATGCCTTTAAATCTAATGTATATATATATATATATATATATATATATATATATAT